TTGTTTATCACAGGATATTGAATATAGTTCCCTGTGCTGTACAGTAGGACCTTGTTGTTTGTCCATTCTGTATATAATAGTTTGCATCTGCTGACCCCAAACTCCCAGTCCATCCCTCCCCCACCCGCACTCCCCCTTGGCCACCACATGTCTGTTCTCTATTTCTGTGAGTCTTTTTCTGTTTCATAGGTAGCTTCATCTGTGTCATATTTTAGATTCCACATATATGTGATATCATATGGTATTTATGTTTCTCTTTCTGACTTACTTCATGTAGTATGATAATCTCTAGTCCCATCCATGTTGCTGCAAATGACATTCTTTCTTTCTTTTTTTATGGCTGAGTAATATTCCATTGTATATATGTACCACATCTTCTTTATGCATTCCTCTGTTGATGGACATTTGGGTTATTTCCATGTCTTGGCTATTGTGAATAGCACTGCTGTGAACACAGGGGTGCGTGTATCTTCTTGAATTAGAGTTCTGTCTGGATATATGCCCAGGAGTGGGATTGCTGAATCATATGGTAATTCTATTTTTAGGTTTTTTGAGGAACCCCCATACTGTTTTCCATAGTGGCTGCACCAACTTACATTCCCACACCAACAGTGTAGGAGGGTTAAGGGGAGATTTAAAACCTGCAATCCACTTAGCGTCACACTTACTTCTGACACATTTTCAGAACAAATTATTAGATAATCCTATTCAACAAATGTTATTTGAACACCTACTTTGCACTGTTCTAAGTTCTCAGGGATAAACACAACAGGCATGGTTTTTGCCCTCAAGGAATTTTTTTAGTCTCAAAAAGAGAGAAAGTGCTTTTGTAAGAAGTGATTGCCGGGGTATTGAATGTCCTGAAAGGGGAAGAGCAAAGGTCAAATGGTTTAAGTGAGGGGATCTAACTTGGTTTAGGGGGTCAGGGGAGGCCTCCCTGAGAAAATTGAAAATTAAAGTTTGAGGAACTAGCCAGGAAAAGGGGACAAAGTAAGAAAGCATTCTAAACGTAAGAAGGAGCTTGTGCAAACGCCCAGCTTTGGAAAGAGTCCTCAAGGCAGTGAAGGAAACAAAAAGGGGTACAAGTGGCCAGAGGACCGATGAGAGAGAATGGGCAGGACCAGCCTGAGTGGTGCGCAAGAGCAAGTTCAGGGCTATGGATTGGGTCATTTCCCTGGTACACCAGTCTAGCAACACTGGCAAATGTGGAAATGAAGTGATTATGACAGAACTGTGCTTTTCATCAGCTCGTAGTGGCTCCCAAAATCATCACCCCCTTTCCAGATGCCCTTGAGCCAGCCTCTTAGCTGTTCTTCCCACTTCCGGTCTCAGTTCCCTCCAGTTCACTCCCCATTAGATACATCTCTAAAATTCAAATCTGATTATATCACAGCCACGCTTAAAAACCTTCAGTAGATTAACTACCATGGTCCTTGGGACTTTAGTGTAGATGGATTTTAATGACATTTAATTTACTCTTTTTAATATCTTTGGGTGATAAATTCAATTTGTAGCTGGATGTAGAGTCTTTAATGGAATTCATGTAAGCTCCCCCTGTAGTTATGACATCTAGGACTTGTGGCCTACAAGGTCTCTGTGTCAGGGGAACGTAAGAATAAAGGAGTCATACTGCCTCTTAAATGACTTGGCCCAGAAGTGACGTCACCTTCATTCACAGTCCATTGGCCACAGGAAGTCACATGGCCCCAACCCAATTACAAAAGAGTCTGGGAAAAGCAGGGGAGTACATGGCATATTTGGTGAGAACTGTCTTTGCCACAGTGCGTTATTGAGTTTATATCTGTCATAAAACATGGATGGTTAGGTAATATGCCTGATAAGAGAATTAATATTCAAAAATATCTCAACTGAGTAGAAGGATAAATCTAAACTAGCAAAAAGATATTTAGGAGGATTCAATATAAAATCTTATACCTAGGTGAAAGGTTGGACTTGATGACCACTAATATCCCCTTCTATGTCCAGATTCTATGACTGTCTCATTTATATATGTCACTGTTCACAGGATGGGCAATAACTAGAAAGTTTTAAATGATTCTTTTCAATGGTAATGCTCATCTAAGAATGCCACCATTCAATAAGCCACATGTATGTATCGATGTTTCTGCTCCTTGATTTTGTCCCTGAGCTACCTTCGGCAGAGCATGGGCGGCTCTTGGAGCAGTGGAGATGAACTAACGCTTCTTCATTTACCTTCTTTTGTCTGGTGTCCCATATGACCAAAGGGAGCCTGTGAAGTATACAGCCAGATAGAGAGAGGAAGAGGGAAGCAGCATTCATCATGCAATGATGGCCAAACCGTGGCTTTGGCCTCTTTGGCCCTCTGAGTGAACCAAGATTCAATGCTGTTTGAGGGCTTGCAGGGAGGAGAATAGGGCCACAGTTGTGTTGACCCCCAAATAATTCAATTCCAGTGGAAAACAGCAGAAGACTAGGACCCTGGCCCACAGATATTCCTCCATGGTGATCTTATTTTTTTTAAAAAAACCCATATCTGACCACATCACTCCACCAATACTCTCCAACTGTCCTTATAATAATATCCAAACTCTAGGTCATGGCTTAAATGGTCTGACTCTTGCCCCTCACTCCAACTTCATCTCATATACTTGCTCTAACATTTACTTCTTGAGGGCAGAAACCTTTTCTTGTGCCCTGTTGCATCGACATGTTGAGAGCAGTACTTGGCATATACTTTAATAACTACCTGTTAAATAAATGAATCCAGATTTGACTTCCAAAGGACTTGACTGAATTCATGTAATGGAACCTCTCATCACTAAATTCTTAAGAATAATCCTTTTTTAGAAATTCCATCCCCATATCCGCGTCGTGCTTTGGAAATGAAAAGCATTAGTTTAATTAATGAGGGGATAGCTGAAGGAGTGAAGAATAATATTGAATATCATGTCCAGTTCAAACTCCTTGGGGGAATTTGGCTGGGAGGATGGAATTACCCAAGTTGGACTGTGCCCAGTGCACCAGGCTTAAGTTATTGGATAAGAGTACATTAGAAAAATGAATTTTGGCAGCCAACAAAATATTCTCTTTATGTGGAAGTAAGTGACCTTGGATTTAGTTTCTTTTAAAGACTGGTTTTCTCTGGCAGGGGCAAGAGATGATACCTTGAAGGAGCCAGGATTTTGTAATGACAGCGGCAGTACTAGGATACTTGGGGGTGGTTGTCCTGCGTCCATTTCTCAGCATCCATTAGAGTAGGAATGTGATGGTCCAAATCTGCTTCTTGTTTTGCCAGTATTTGGTCTCTTCATCTGGAGAATCACCCATGATTGTAGCTGACTGTATTCCAAGATTCGTGAGCCTTGGCACCTGAATCAGATACCTATGGATAAAAAGAAACCATTTGTTTATTCCTTTCTTCTTTCTCTCTTCTTACTCCCCTGTTTAACTGTCCCAAATTGTCAGCAAATGAGTCAAGTGTTCAACGTTTTTTTTCACAGAGACTGAGTTTGGAAAAGCTGATACAGTCCATCATACTGTTTCTCAGTGAGTTTACCGTGACATTCTGGGATTTTGAAAAGACATCTTTTCTGTGTCAAGCCATCCTAGGGTAGCTTATACCCCTTTGTTCATTTTTGGCAAGACAGATGGAGGACAGGGCAGTAAAACAGCAGGATGAAAGGGAGAGAGTGGCGGGATGAAGGGTGTAGACACGGACGTCGGCAGTGGAGGGTGCAGATGGGGCAGAGGGTAAAACAGCAGGGAGAACTGAGCGACCTCCTTGTCTGAACTGTTCCATATTCCGGCATGTCCCTAAAACTGGAAAAGAACTTAAACAGTGGAGGCCTTCTCTGAGGTATTTATAGTCTTTGCTAATAAGGTCATAAATAATCACCTTTATCGTGAAACTAAATAGAGTATGTAATGCCAGTCATGGTGGGGTTTGGAGGAAAACACCCCAAAACACCTCCCCTACCAGCCTGGTCTGGTGTCTACAAGCTCTGCTCCCATCCTTTCTTTGCGCAGAAGCCCTGTCCCTCAAAGCCCCTGTGAAAATGCTGGCATTTTTCCTGGGAGGGGAGGGAGGTCAGCTGACTGGAATGGGGTCGGTTTATTTGGCTGTCAGCTAAGAATTCAAGAGATTGTAGCTAGAGCGTTTGGAATGGGGGCGGGGAGGTGGGGTGGCAGCTGCAATTGCTTTCACACTGGAGAGCTCTGGGGTGGCAAGAGCAACAATAAAAGACACCTGTTTGCGGCCAACAAGGTGAGTCAGAAGATTAGTGGCAACAGGTGTGAGCTACAAGAGGACCATTGCTTTGCTTCTCCCCTTCAGATCTCCCACAAGAATATCTTCTGTGGCCACTCTGATGGGACACGTGCAGGGAAGGGAACTCTGGGAAATGCAGTTCTGCCTCACCAAGCGGACACTTATCAAGCCAGCCTGCCAGGCCAGCTGCTTCCACACCCTGCAGACTTTCCATGACACCACATCGCCCCTCTCCAAACGGCCTTCTAAGTAATTTGTTCATTCTTCCTTGTTCAGCCTGGTTTAAGTATTGATACCACAGGCCTCGAGCAGGGTTAGTGCTGGGGCCAGCATGGAGGCGACAGACTCGGAGGTTAGTGTCTTCTCGGGGAGATCCAACCACAGATGAAACTCCAGCTGCAAAGGAAAAGGGTCTCATCCTTGGGGTGCATAGAGTAGGGGTCGGGCATTTTGTTTTTCATTACCCCTAGCCCTCCAATACCTCCTTCTCACATAGCCAGCCACCAGGTGCACTTATGCAGTTTCTGTCCTGCACAAAAATGTCCAACCAAGCAGGAATATAGCCCTACTTCTCTCATTGGGCTCACAAGTGCTTCAGCCTTGAGGAATAAAAAATGTTTCCGATCCAAGGCCCTGAAGGAGGCACATTTTTACAGTTTGCACAAAGGCACTGGATGTGTAGCTGCGCCCCTTAAGTCACCTGCCTGTAGCTGTCTCACTTTTTTTTTTTTTTTCTTTTCATTTGGGAAAGCCGAGCCAGTGTGGTGCGCCTGGACTTCACAGATTGCCCTCAGATGAGCTCAGCTCCTGACCTTCCTGTCTGGAGCCTGAATGCACCTCCATGTGAGGAAGGTAAGAGCTGAGAGGAGGAAAGTCCTCCCAAAGCATCGGTACAATGATACCTTCATTATGATTTTGAAGAGTTTCTCCTGTTCTTTTTGAGGATCAGCAGAGCATTTCAATCAGAAACTGAGCTTGATAGAGGAGGATTTGGGATGTGTGTGTGTGTGTGTTGTAGGAAGTGAGGCGATAGAAGCACATTTTCAAAGAACCAACTTCCCGTCAAGATGAGAGGCAGACTGTTGACTGATTTTAGCTACATACAGTCTGTGAGCTCATAGAATAGGAATGTGCCTTATCAGGATAGCTTAGTACCTGATAGCTTAGTATCTACTGAGGATGCTTCTTTCTTTCCTGCTGCCTGTCATGGCTCAGACCCACCTGCTTTAGCACTTCCAGCCTTTTGCTCTGATGTCCCTCTGAGCTTTTGCTTTGGCCTTTATAGCCTGGCACACTCCTGGTGGTGCTATTATGGGATGGCTAACTGGAGCTGGTTTTGGACAAGTCTTCATATTTCCTTTTAAGCATCAAATGAAACACTGAAAGTATGTAATGCTTGTGATTAAAATTATAGTGGAAAGTACAACCGGCCCACAGCAGATTCTGCTCTAAGAATCTAAAAGAGATGAAGTAGTTGGCTAAAGAGCAGACGTACATTGTTTTCGAGGCTTTCTGATGTAGACAAAATGAATCATCATTACGTGGTGGGCCCTTTGTGCTATTTAGGGGTCCAGGTCTGGAGCCATTCACATACCCACATCTGTAGACCCAACCCCAAGTAAAACTATGCCATTTAGGAAGTCTGTTCTTATGTTCCTGGATCCTTACAAATTCTTTTATCTGCATCCCTTTCTATCCTCTCTGGAACTTCATAATTCTTTACTCTTTTTTGCAACGTGGAAAAATATAAATAATCATAGTTAATGTGTATTACATACTTGGCATGTACAAGGCATTGTGCTGAGCACTTTACATAAATTGAATGCTATTATCGAATAAATATTTATATAGGACTTATTATATATTAGAAGATGTTCCAGGTGCTGGGGATATGGAATAAAGCAGACAAAAATCCCTTCTGGGGCTTCCTTGGTGGCTCAGTGGTTGAGAGTCCTCCTGCCGATGCAGGGGACACGGGTTCATGCCCTGGTCCGGGAAGATCCCACATGCCGCGGAGCGGCTGTGCCTGTGAGCCATGGCCGCTGAGCCTGCGTGTCTGGAGTGTGTGCTCTGCAACGGAAGGGGCAACAGAAGTAAGGGGCCAGGGAACAAAAAAAAAAAAAAAAAAAAAAGAAAAAAATCCCTTCTGTATGGAATTTACATTCCAAAGGGAGATAAAGAGAATTTAAAGAGGAAACTATATGATAAAGGTGATGATAGATGCATTGTAGAAAAATAAAATGAGGAAGGGTACTAGGAAGTGCCGGTGAGCATTGGGGAGCAGACAGTGTGGCTATTTTAAGTAGGGCGGATGGCAACACTGAAAGCTGATCTGCGTGACAGCTCTGTAAGACAGATAATACTGCTATCCTCATTTCACAGATGACACTGAGGCTTAGAATATAAAAACTTTTTCTCAAGAGTAGATCTACCCGCTCTTCTTCTGCCAGAGTCTATCTCTCCCAGAAGCATTTGCTATAACTTCCCTCCTAGCTGTAGAATGCAAAGCAATTGTACACAGTTGAGGAATTATATCAGCAGTGGCTATGCCAAAAGTGTGAGAAAGAGGAGATGTTCCGTTTCTTGTGGCTCCTACAATCACGATGGTTTAGCTGACTTGCTTACCTTGTCTCCCTCTTGAGATAGAACAGACCTCTCTGCGTGATGCTCGGCAGGGTTCTATGGCCATAGAACTAATACTTCAAAAACAAAAAAATCTCAGCCAATTTTAAAAAATAGACTTTATTAGTTAGAGCAGTTTTAGGTTTGCAGCAAAACTGAGCAGAAAGTACGGAGAGTTCCCACACCCTGCCCCCATTCCCACCCTGCCAGCCTCCCCCACTATTGACATCTGCCTAGTCTTTTATTTACAAGGGTAACTTCTTCCCTGTCCTGTTCCTTTCTCATGTATTAAATCTGGGCTGCAGGTTCAAATACTATCACTCACTGGGTGCTGAGGTCCCGATTCACACCTGGGCTGCCCCATCCATCAGGGGCCAGCTGTTCTCTCTCTTCGCAAGGAGGACGCAGTGCAGGCAGAGGAGGTCAGAAGGACATGCAGGAAACACGGACGGACAGATGGCTGCGTTCCTGAGTGCTTGCAGGGCCTCGAGCTGCTGCAGGTCTGAGGCCATCCCTGCCTCATAGCCCTGTCAATTCCACCAACCTTCTCCTCCCGGCCAAGGTTGTGCAATTTTCTAGGAATTTCTCAGCCCTGGGTTTCCCCTTTTGCTTTTCAGTTTCTCATTGTGAGTCAGCTCATCTTGCCCTCCAGACTTGCCTAAAAACTCCATATTGGATGTTGAGCGGTGAATAAATTCCTGTCTGCTGCCACGTGCTGAGTCACCAGGGACTCCTCACTGACTCCTGGCTGCCTTTTGGGCTGGGGGGCTTGCCCTAGGGCTGAGAGGAAGCAGCGGGCAGCCGGATAACCACACCTTCAGGCAGAGGCACTTCTGAGAAGCCGTCCTCCATCCTCCGGGTGAAAATGTGTAGTCAGCCAGGCGGGTGGGAGAGGTGCGTGGGCTGGTGTCGGGGGTGACATCATGCCCGATCTTTCCTGCCAGATTGGAGGGGAGGTCATGCGTAAGCTTGACTTTTGAGGGAAAAGGAGGTGGAGTCATTGATGAGTTTCTGTACTTGAGAGTCAAGGGATGAGGTCACATCTGGGTTTGTCTTCTTTGGAAGAGTGAGGTCATGCTGCTGTTTCCCATATTTTGGGTCCCGGAGTGAGGAGACAGGGTACACTGTGCTAGGATTTGCCTTCTTTAAGAGGCTGGGGAGGTTAGGAAGCTGCAGTGCCTTCACAGGGAAGAGCTTGCTTCTCTCTGGGAAGGTGCCTGAGGAAGCAGCCCTCTGGGGCAGTACAGTGTTGGAGAGCTCTGCTGTTCTGCTTGGCAACACCCAAGGCCACACTATGATTTTCATAGGCCCCTTCCTCCGTGAAAAAAAAATTAAGAATTTTCTTTTATGACTGTGTTGGTGTAGAGATGAATAGAATCCGGACTGGAATTATTATTACATATGCATTATTATATTCATTTTCTTCTGATTTTAAAAGAAAATGAAAACATTCTCGTGGGTCTCTAAAAGGTTTCATGGGCCTTAGGCTCTCTCTGCCTAATGGATAAATTAGCCCTGAGGTCAGGGGTCTCCTCTTCTTCAGAAAGGAATCTGGGGCTGGAGCAAAACACACAGGGCACCGTCAGCTCCCCACCCTCACTTTGCCTGACTGAGATGCTCTGCCGGGAACTGGGCTATGAGACCGCACAGAACGCAGCCTGTCTTCTTGTGCAGACGGGGCACTGAGCAGAAGCAGAGTGGTCCACCAGCCAACAGGCTTGCTTGAGAGGACTGACGTCCGGTGAACTGCCCTTACGCTAAGTACCTAATTCATCCAAGAGCAGATACTAGTCATCTCCTCAGGCAAAGGCAGAGATCCACGGGGGCAGGATTTGGAAATTCATGTCAGGTGATCAGTGTTGAGGGAGCCAGGTAAGGTAAGAGTGATCACATACTGTATTCACGTTCATTCATTCAACAATATTTATTGAACATCAGCTATGTGCTAAGCACCAGGCCTTGGGGGTTACAAGTTCTGACATTCATGGAACTTGAATAAATATTATACCCTCTACATTCTCCAAGACATCTATTTATAGCCACAGATAAGTTGGGGAAAAGCGGAGGGAGAAAACCATTAAATTGTGAGAAGCCATGTCACCTAGTACCTGCCAGCGACCTGATGTGCGTTGTCACTTGATCCTCCTCACCACCCCATGAAGCACAAATGTAAAGGTACGTGCATGCCTCTGGTTGAGATACGTGCAGCGTCACTATGGGTGCCACACCTGAAGTGTGATTGCCTGCCCCAGACACACTCAGCAACTGGGCACAGCAGCCAGTAGAACATGGAATGAGAGGTCTGCTGGGCAGGAAAGTTCTGCAAGTGGAAGTCAAGTTTCAAGGAGCAAACCTAGCTGGGGTCAAAATCCTGGGATGTACAGAACAGGAATCTCAGATCAGCCAGTGTCCTTCAGGCGGGCACCAACGATCTGGGCACACGCAGTTCCGGAAGGAGTCAGAAACCACGGCCCTGGAGGCCTGGACCCAAGCGAGGTGAACACCAGTCCTACAGAGGGAGCTGTCTGCTCCTGACCTGTTTTTGCCATGTGCTGGTGTGTGTGTGTGTGTGTGTGTGTGTGTGTGTGTGAACATCAACTGGGGCACAGGGAACTGGATTCCAGGTATTCACAGGAGCCAGGAATCTAGCAGTTTCTGGATGAACCCTGTTGCCTCCTGAGGCAGGGTTAGATTATTGTGTTGACCTCTCAAAAATGTGAAATTGCTCGTTCGTTTTACACTGCCATAGCATCTACTGATTGAAATGATCGAAAATGTACTTAAAAATAATACAAACAGGTATTTTCCTTCACAGGCTTCTTATACTGTCCTTGTTTTTCTCTTATATACTGAGACTCACGTATAACCCAGTCCTGCCCCACCTAGGCTTGGTCACATAATAGTAACTCAACAGAATAATATGCTGAGACCCACTGTTGCCATCATCTGTCCATTAACTAACCTCTATTTCTGCTTCTAAGCCCAAACCCCATTACCCACCCAAGTCACTTTAGAAATAGATTATTTTTTCTTCTTTCCCCTCTAAGTATCTGACCAAACCAAGAGCATGCGAGTCTTTGGGTGAGATCCAGTCTTCCCAATCTGTATGGTCTTCCCTCCCTCCCTCTCTCCCTCCCTTCATTCCTTCCTTCCTTCCTTCCTTCCCTCCTTTCCTCCCTTCCTTCTGAGTAGTAAGTAGAGTATATAGAACGTAACTTAATCTGTTTTAG